CTCAAAAATGTTCAGGAACCTCTCCATGAATTAAAAGAGTGCGAGTTGTTTCAATAAGATGTCTATTTTTGCGTTTAGCTACACCATTTTGTTGAGGTGTATAAGCACAAGAAGTTTGATGGAGGATATCATGAGAAGCCATGCATTGTTAAAAAGAATGAGAAAGATATTCACGATCATTATCACTGCACAAAACTCTAATAGAAACACCGAACTGAGTTTGAATTTCATTGAAAAAAGTTTGCAAGATATGAAATAATTCAGAACGATTTTTCAAAAAAAAAAAAACAAGTGCATATAGAATAATTATCAATGAAAGTAACAAAGTATTGAAAACCTAAAATAGACTTAACGCGGCTAGGTCTTCAAATGTTAGAGTGAACCACGACAAAAGGGGACGAAGCACCACATATGACATTACGAGGAAAGGAAGTACGACTATGCTTGTCTAATTGACAAAACTCACACGCCAAACTAGACAAGTTAGACAAGGCAGAGACAAGTTTCTGTAACTTGGCAAGGCTTGAATGACCTAACTGAGCATGAAGAAGAGAGGAAAACTCCATAACTGCACCAACATGTGTAGAGGGATGAAGATGATAAAGACCATGAGACTCATATCCTGTGTCAATCACCTGTTTCGAACTCCAGTCCTGTAAACACTCAAAATTGTTGGTAAAAGAAACAACACAATCAAGAGAATGAGTTAGACGACTGATGGACAACATGTTAAAAGGAGACTCAGAGACATAAAGAACATTATCAATGGTTAAAGAAGGGAAAAGTTTAACAGTTCCAACACCATGAGATGATACTCTAGAACCATCAGCTAATGTAACAGAAGGTAAAAAATTAGAAGAGGATAAAGAGGAGAACAAAGATTTGTTACCAGTAATATGATCAGTGGCTTCTGAACCAAAAACCCAAGGATCAGGAGAAGAGGATTGGGTCAGACCAGCAAAATAAGTATCTGTGTGTGCGAAAAATGTAGTGGAACTAGAAGATTGTTGATCCTTATACCATTTGAGAAATTTGTTGAACATAACAGGTGTGTCGGATGCAACAGAAGAAGGAGGATCCCCAGCAAATAAAGGTGGGGAAAGATTGGTCTGAACAACTGCAGCAGATCAAGGAGGACGACCATGTAATGCATAAAACTTGTTAATCTTGTGACCTAACTTGCTACAATGTTCACACTTAGGACGCCCTTTTCCCTGTTTGCGAGGGCGAGTCTGGTCATCACAGTGAGATGCCAACACAGAATAATCATTAACAGAATTGGAAGTAGTAGAAGGAGTGAAAGAAGTCATGAAGGGCAGGAGAACAAACCCTAAAAAAAATCCAAAATAATCCAATCCACCCACGAAGCACATATCCAAAACGAGAAGACCAAAACAAGTACGTCGAAACTAAACGACGTAAGAGACAATAAACGACCAACTCCGATAGTGGTGATCTCAACAACACGATGATCACCTTACCGAAACGAACAAAATCGTATATCACCGGTCAAAAATGAAACTCTGACGATGGCTCCGGCGACTGCTCCGGCGGCGGCAGTGACAACAGCGTGAACCAGTACATCAGGTAAGTTCCCAGGAAAGAGAGGTGGGTCACTAATGGACACACTTAAATACCAAGTCTTTCCTTGTCAGAACCTTCCTAGACATGCACTTTAACAATACCAAATAATATCCAGTAACAAAGATAACTCTTTTCTGATGTGGAAGATTAGTTTAACCGGCAGCAGCGGCGATGGCGACTTCAACAGTGGATAATGGCAAAAAAAAAATTTCAAAATAACCTTAAGTTCTAGATACCATGTTGAATATAGATGAAATACGGTTTTAGATATTCTCCCTTGTGTATAAACCACACATAGGATAATCTATTTATAATAGAGAGATGTACAACTAAAAGAGTAACCGAAAGTAAACAAAGAAACAGAAGATATTGTTTGATATTATGGTTAATAATATCTAAACAATATCTAATAAGATGCATCAAACACCACTTAGTTCTCAATTCTGATTATTTTAATTGATATAAACTAGCTTCAATAGATTAATTTCACTTATAATACTACTGTTCGTACTGTTTTAATCAATTAAATTTTGATTTAATCGATTAGATTCTATCAGGATTTTGATGTACATCTGTCATTTCTGTTTTAATCGATTAAAATGTTATCTGTATCAATTAAAATCATTAACAAGATCAATTTAATCGATTAGGTCTTGCTTTTAATTGATTATTATTCTGCAAAAGAAATTAAAGGCTTTAGTTAATGACTATTCTTGTAACATGCTACTAAAGCAATGCTCCCTTATCTTTACACGTGTCTATTGTATTCATTACAAACGTGTTAACGAAGATAAGTTTGAATCACCTTTAATTGATTTTTAAATGAATAATACATCTCATTGGTATCATGAAATTCTATTCTTTTTCTTTTTTATTATAATGTTGTTTTAAAAATAAATTTTGTTATCATTACATGCTATGCATATTGCTTGTTTTATCCCTCTCTTCCCTATTTTTGATGAAGTCAAAGGGAAAAATGATTAATTTTTTAAATACTCACTAATCTAGGGAGAGAAATGATTAAACTTGAATACTCACTAATCTATATATCCAAGTGACTTCTTCTCCAGAATCTTTTAAAGAGGTGTTTGTATTCATCAAATAGGGGGAAACTGAAAGTGATGAAAATCTTATTGAATTATTTGATAAAACGAAGATCTTGTGAATTTGATGAAGTCAAAGGCTAATATGATGAAGTCAAAGGCCACTTGGGTTAAAGGCTAGAGTGATTAGTGAGTCTGCATCTATACATAGGTATAATCATTCATATCTCTCTGCTGCATGAGGTTTCATCATTTAAAAGAATTTGAAAATGCCTCTAAAGATGTTTAATATGTTAAAAATCAAAGTAATCGGTTAAATGATTTTTTAAGAAATTATTTTAACTGATATTATATGAGCTTTATCAATTAAAATGTTTTTAAAACTTACATAACAGATTTTTAACTGATATACTTTCGAAATAATCGGTTATTTTCATTAAAATGGTATTTGGAAACCTTCTGCCAGTGTTTTAACTGATATAGATTTGAAATAATCGATTAAAATTGTTTTAAAATATTTTGAAAAGTGTGTTGACGAGTATTTTAATCAATTAAACTTCGAAATAATCGATTAAAACTACTTGAAAAGCTTTTTGATTGTTGTAATCTCATATATGACCGATCGAACAAGTTATAATCGATGTAATCTCAAATATGATCGATCATAATAATTTTAATTGATGTAAAATCGAATTAATCGATTAAAACAACTTAATGAACTTTTTGTTAACATTTTTAATCGATTAAAACCTGTTGTTATCAATTAAAATTACTTAGAAAATTTTATGAAAGTTTTTGGCGAATTTTAATCAATTAAATTGCGAATTAATCGATTAAAACAATTTAAAAGACTTTTTGTTAATTGTTTTAATCGATTAAAACGATATCGCATCAATTAAAATAAATTTGAAAAATATTCAAGAACATTTTAACATATTAAAAGAAGTTTTAATCGATTAATCAAAGATTTATAACAGATTAAAAGAACGGTTTAACATATTAATTAAACCAGAAGTTGAAAAACTTTTCTATATAAACATACTTGATTCAACATTTTAAATTATACTTTTGAGCAATCAATCAAACAATTATAAGAGCTATTTTCAAGGAAGAATTGCGCAAATTTTGTGGTGTTTTTCAAAGTTCTTTCTTGAAGAATTTTTGTATTCTTTTTGTGAAAAAACTCATATTGCAGCGACTACATAATCTGGGTTTGATTTGATTGTTCTAGTTTCTTCTCTTTATTTCTTTACATTTCTTTATTGTATTGTGAGTGTCTGGAATTGTTGGGCACTGGTTGTGTAGCTGAAATTTGGCTGCAGGTTGATACAAGAACTGAAACTTGGTTATTGAGAGGTGAGTACCTGGAATTTATGGGCATTGGTTCTGTAGCTGGAATTTGGTTACAGGTTGGATCTTGTGGTAGATTCGGTGTGTGATTGAAATCTGTAATTTGTAAAACATTCAATCTAGTGGAACTCAATTGGAATTTGACTGAAAACTAGATATAGTCTTGGGATTGGGTGAACCAGTATAAATCTTGATTATATTTCTCTAAACCTTACTCTCTTTAATTCTGCTGTGGACTTACTTTGAATAACTTGATTTACTTGATTCAATAATTGGTCTGTTGAAAGTCTCACATCGCCTACTTCATATCATTTGGTATGATTTAAATACATGTTAGGCTACTCCACATATTGCCAATTGGTTTTATGTTGGAATCTTAACATGGTATCAGAGCCAAAGCCTAACATCTTTCCGGTTATTGTCATAGGCCAAAAGTTGTCATTTAGTTGGGTCAAAAGTACCCTTTGCCTGGTCCGGCAGGCTTCGTTGGAGGGGGTGTGTTGAAAGTCCCACATCGCCTACCTCATATCATTTGGTATGATTTAAATACATGTTAGGCTACTCCACATATTACCAATTGGTTTTATGTTGGAATCTTAACATGGTCAAACCTCTTAATATTTAAAATAGATAATCTGTAAATTACAAAAATTTTCCAAAGATCAATTCACCCCTCTTGATCTCAGCCTCATTTTCTAACAATAGCATCCATAAAAAGCCTATCAATCCACGTCACAATAAACAATGATAGATGTTTATAGTACACCGTAGATAGATAGGTAACAGATAAGAAGGGATGATGGTGATAATATATAACATTGTCCCAGAAAGAAGGGGAGATATATATTATTTAATAAAGATAAGAACAACACAATCATTCCTCTTATTATGCAAACAAGTAAAAAAGGGGCTAATTAGCATTTAAAAAACCTGAATCTAAATTAAACACAGGTGGTATCGTCTCCAAGTCATTGTAAAATTCTTGGACAAAAATGAAACGAGAATAAAGAAGCAACCAGCTTTTCATATGTGAATGGGCTTGTCATAAGTGGCCATTGCGGCTTCTTTCACAGCCTCGCTCATTGTTGGATGTGCATGGCACACACGTGCAATGTCCTCACTTGATGCATCATACTGCAATGCTATTGCGGCTTCATGAATGAGCTCTCCTGCATTGGGTGCCATAATGTGCACTCCCAATATCTTGTCTGTCTCCTTCTCAGCCAATATCTTCACTAGTCCTTCAGCATTATCAATTGCCTTGGCTCTGCTGTTAGCCATGAACGGGAATTTGCCAACGCGGTATTCAACTCCAAGTGCCTTCACCTGCTCCTCTGTCTTCCCAACATATGCAACCTCGGGGGTTGTATAGACAACACCTGGGACTTTGTCATAGTCTACATGGCCAACCTTACCAGCTATGTATTCAACACAAGCAACCCCATCTTCTTCTGCCTTATGTGCCAACATTGGGCCCGGAATTACATCCCCAATTGCATAGACACCAGAGACATTTGTGGCGAATCTTTCATTTACCAAAATCCGTCCTACCTTGTCAGTTTCAACTCCTATCTTGTCTAACCCAAGTCCAGCAGTGAACGGAGTCCTACCCGCAGATACAAGGACAACATCTGTTTCAAGTGTAGTCTTATCACCACCAGCAGCTGGTTCAAGTGTTAGCTTCACACCATCCCCAGAAGTATCGACTCCAACAACCTTTGTCTTCAGCTGGAATTTCATGCCTTGCTTTTCAAGAGAACGCTGAAACTGCTTCCGGACCTCCGCGTCCATGGTTGGAACAATATCTGATGCAAATTCAACAACTGTTACCTCAGAGCCAAGTCGGCCCCATACTGAGCCCATCTCTAGCCCAATGTAGCCTGCCCCAATGACCACGAGTCTCTTGGGGATTTCAGTCAAAGCAAGAGCCCCCGTTGATGATACAATTTTCTTCTCATCAATAGTGACTCCAGGTAGAGATTTCACATCCGAGCCAGTGGCAATTATGATATGCTTGCCTTTCACAACAGTGTTTCCACCGTCAAGGGTGTCCACAGAGACTTCGGATGGTGAAACAAATTTGCCATAACCTTTGACATAGCTTACCTTGTTTTTTTTGAACAGGCCTTCAATACCCTTGGTAAGATTAGAAACAGCTTTATCCTTTTGGGCCATCATGGCTGGCAAATCAACCTCGACGGATGAAAACTTGACCCCATGGTTGGCAAATGCGTGTTTAGCCTCATGGTACATGTGAGAAGAATGCAAAAGGGCCTGAACCAAAATGTGGAGGTAACCTAAATGAGTACATGGATCTAGTGGTATATCTATCATTTTATTCAAACAATATATGGAAACACAAGAACAAAAACCATAGCCTTTTCCCAGCAGATAGATGGATTGCTAAAATGAGATGTCATTGTTTGTATATGGGAGCATATTTGTTTAAAAATACACAACGATGGAGATCATATTGGTGATCAATACAGAAAAATTATAGAGAGGTATAATCTGCAGCAGGAAATGAAATTATTTATATGGAAAATCAAATAAATTAAAATGAATGAAATGAACTTGATTGGAGGATATTGAAGGAAATTACTAAAACGAGTCTCAAGGTGAATAATGTCCTGAAAATTTATTTTTTACCAAGTCCGATAATGTGATTCATGAAACCAATCTCATCTAGTTAGATAAGATTAGTTGAACAAAATGCAATTTATTGCATAAAATTTAGCAAGCTAAACAATAGAAGTTTTTTCATCCAGATAATATTCCGGTTGAGAACTTAAAATTATGATATTGCAAATCAAGCAACTCATCCACGCAAGAAGAAAAATAGGCAAAATCCGCACAAAAAACAGTGCAGGAGAAATACACTTGCACTCAATTCCTCCTATATAGTAAAAACACACACAAAAGAAAAGGAAAGAAATGAAAAACCATGCTCACAATTCGTCAACTTCACTCCATCTAAATTACTTTCCCCTACCAACATATCTCATAATAACATAACAACATCCACTCACTCCAAAAAAAAAAAAAGGCAACACCAAAAGCTAGGTCTAAATGTCTTTCTTTTTAATCCCTTAAAAAAAAAAGACAGCAACTAGAAAGACGCAAAATATAAACGAACTAGAAACCAAATTCTCAATTCCACAAATACACAGACGAAATTTTATAATAAAAAAAAGGAAAACAAAGCACGAAGAAGAAAATGTAAATTAATGAACCTTGGAAGGGATGCATCCGACGTTGAGACAGGTGCCGCCCAGAGTTCCACGCTTTTCGATGCAGGTGGTTTTGAGACCCAACTGCGCGGCTTTAATGGCGGCGACGTAGCCGCCAGGACCGCCGCCGATAACGACGACTTCGTTTTGGTCAGATCCGGAGGCGAATCCCCTGAAACTTGTGAGGAAAATTGATGACCTGGATGAAGAGACGACAGCGTAAGCCTTGCGGCGAGCCAAGCTTGCCATGGCCATGATCTTTCTTTCTTTGGATTCGATTCGATTTGAGTTAGTTGTTGTTCACTTCCTCAACAACGCCACTCTTCCTCTCGCGACCTAACACAACACATATCGCATGCTCCTTTTCTTTATTATATATAACCATCATCGTCTATAATATTGTATTATTATATTATAATAAATAAATAGATCAAAATAACAAATAATTCATGTTTTAAGTCTCGATACCATCTCAGCCCTTAGATGATTGCTGATGTATTTCTTGCCCTTCGTTTTATTGCTGTTTTTTTCTTTCACTTTTTTATTTTTCACTTCCAAATTCAACCTTTTCTTTTAACCGTTAATGTGCTTTCCGAAATAGGCTTTTGTTTAGTTACTGCTAAATTGTTTTCTAATTATTCTACTTGTTACCATGGATGGACAAGTTGAAATCAAATTCAATTAAGCAGGGGCATTTGTTTCTTAGGTTTTTATTTTTTTTTCAAAATTACAGTACTTGTTCAATTATTTTTATATTTTATTAGAAGATATAAGATTACTTATAAAAGATATCAAAACATTACTTCTTAAAATATACACAAATTTAATATGATTGATACTCAAGTATAATTTGTCAATCTCTAAGTTAAACTTAGTCTGATATTTGTTTTGTCAAATTTTCATACTTCGAAAACATCATTTTAAAAAAAGCAATAACTCATTGGAGTAGCATATCAAATACTTAAACGTAGAGTGATACCATACTTTGCAAGTCATTGCTTGAGTCTACATTCATTAAATACTAATGTAAAAGATCGATTATAAATTACATGATTCTTTGTTTTGAACATATACGTTATTACGATAATATTAAATTATTTTATATTATCAGTATATACTTTTGCCTCTAATTAAAATTCACAGTTTATACGATGTTAAAATCAATGCATATTAAGATGTCGATTTTTTTTCAATATTGAAACAATTATTTATTTTCAAAATCAAGACAAAAATATGTAAATATGAACTCTTAATTAAAAAAAAAAAAGTGTTATCTTTATTGGTGACTCTTTCTATAATTATACGATCACCGTATCACACTAATTCTTAAATCAAAAGCTCAATTTTAAAAACTAAGAATTGGCTATTGTTTGAAAAAGTTAAAAACTTGGAACTAAAACCATTGCATAGGAGTTTTGTATTAAGTGAAGTTTACAAATAATAATAGTTTGTACAAATATATGTGTTGAAATTGAAGTTGAATCTTCAATTTACAGATTTGTAAAAATCTTGTTGGCAGAAACGGCTGCCATATATTTAGGATCTGAAAAACAAGGGATCTGATAGTTGGAGTTGAAGATAGGGAAGGATGCCACAGAGCAAATTTCCCTAGTCATACGTTTGCAAAATTTAGATAACGAAATAACGGCCTTACACACCTTACCGATGCCTCTCTGTATTTGATTGGACTAGGGCAACTGACAGGCTCTATTCCCCTCCGTATAAAAGACAAAACAACTTACACTAATTCAAAACACTATCTCCACTATAACCGAGAAAAAATCATCATCACATGTGATAAGGATTTGCTTGACGATGCCAAACGATGATATTATCCCCTTGGCATATGGACCTACAGTGATAAGATGGGCCATGCATATCCATCGAGTGTCCAAGAACAATAAACATGGCTCGAACAAGGAATTCAACTATGTACTCGCTATGACGACACCTCATCAAAGTAAATATGAAATTAAATTTGAAATGAGTATCAAATTTTGGTGGCATGCAACCCAGAGAATTACTGAGAAAGCCTAAATCATTTCTATTTACAGAAGCAGAAACAATGTTAAAATGGGAACAGCCATGGTGGCCACCGAATCTAATCTGCCAAAATTAGCTACAATTGTCTCTCTACCAACAAAACGCCTCCCTATTAAATAGGTCTAAACCCCCTCTACCCCTCACCAAATATCCCTTTCATCCCTACAAAACTGCTGGCTGCTTTTTAGCTCTCTGAAACAGCCTCAAAAACAGATTAATCTTTTTATAAAGGAACATTTGTGAATCACAAAAATTGCATTTACAGTCAATTTCCCTCAATCAAGCTCTTCAACCTATTTCGGGCCTCTTCAGACAGGCTGCAAACTTTGAATCTTCGCCTTCGGGGCGAACATGATTCAACAATGCTTTCAATGGGCGACAAACATACAACAATCACAGTGAGATTATCCGATGTATTTAGGCGCAATGCTTCCTTGACTAGTTCCCTGGCACACTGCTGTGGGTCATCATGCCTTCTTAATCCTCGGCGAACAAGACTAACTGCAACTTGGCTAGACATTACATCCCAAATCCCATCACACCCAATGATCAAGAATTCATCCTCCTCAGTCAATGTAGCCAGTCGAACATCTGGCTCAGCAATAAGAGGAGATGCAGCACCGAGTGGAAATTTCAAGTCCCAATCCCCAAGGGCACGGGTTACTGAAAGATAACCATTGAGGTATCCATCATCAATAAATCCACCTACCTCCTCCACCCTCCTCTGTTCCGGCAGAAAACTTGGCCTGTGATCATTAGACATATCAACAGCCACACCTCTCCGGCAAAGAACTGCTCGACAGTCACCAGCATTAGCAACAAGCAAGTGCCTTCCAAGTACAAGGGCAGTCAATGCAGTGGTCCCACATGAACTACTAACAGATTGTTCACCAGCCAAGGCAAGATCTGCCCGTAGGAAAGCTCTCCTATGGGAATCCTCCAACTTCTCTAGAAAGAACGCATCAGTATCATATGACTGCAGCATGTCCGCATCTTCAAAAAACAATCTCATAGCATGTCTCTTGACAAAAGCAGCAGCGTCAGGCCCTCCATGACCATCAAAAATTGCATAAAACGCACTCCGTATTGGGCACTTGAGCACAAATCCAAGATGAGCACCTAGATCATCAATACAAATGTGCTCATCATCCATAGAAACCCGAGGCCCAATCTCAGTATAGCTACCGGAACGCACATTCGGGATAAAACTCACTGCAGGGGTCTCCAAAATGGAATCTTCAATGATATCAGGGCGATTCACTGCCTAAAAAACATGTAAGCCAAAAGTCAGCACATCAAAACTAAAATGATCAACTCAAAGTGTTAAAGAAAAAAATATGAACCTGACCATTCATTAAACTCACAAGGCCTAACAGCCCGAAATTACTAAAAGGCAATAACTAAATTTCAACGAAGTGAGAAACCTAGTTAAAGGCGATAAATAAACATCAAATTCCAAATTCTACTTCCAAAATTCAGATTCATAAACTCAACAAACACTATACTGTTGGATCTTCCTACATTCATCAATAAAAAGAAAAAAAAAATATTTCACAAACCCGATTCAGATTTGATAATAAGCTAACCTAAATGAATGACGTCAAAACCAATTCCTTGAACAGATCAAACCGGTAATAACCACAATTGAAATCAAATTCAAAAGGAAAAAAGGGAAAAGGATATAGGGACTGAGATAAAAATCATACTTGGCCAAAGATCGGAACAGAAGGTGAAGGCGATTTGGGCGAAACCTCAACCTCGACCTTGTGTTCTTGCGCCACGCAAATATGATACTTGACGTCCAGCATCGGAATGCTCTGCTGACAGATAATTTCCGCTTCCGCTACCATCTTTGGGCTGACGATCATCTTCAATCGCAGTTCTGCAACGAAATTAATCACTAGAATTTCCTTAATTGAATTTGAAGCGTTCGAATTTGGAGTTTTCTTTAAAGAAGAAAAAAACAGTGACAAAATTAGGGTTTCTCTTTTCTCTTTCTTTCCCTCTCTGTACGTGCCTGCTGGGAATTCTGCGCTCATGATACTTAAAAGGGTGCTTAATCCGACGCGCTAGTAAGCATGTCGGTGGGCGTGGCGTGAAAACTCAATAATGCCCTGGAACACTGTGTCGTATCGTGTTTATATTTTCTCTTTGTGGACACTTGGATGAAAGGGTAATTTTGTGACGCGAGGACAAGAGCTTGGAGTCGTCACGCCTCTTCTCATGTATCAAGTTCCTCAATCTGTGAAATGACGCAACTGTCCCTAGATTTGCTTATGATTAACGTCGCTTACATTAGTTTAGTCGCCCACAGATTAATTAATTAATGCAAATTTAAAAGTTTAACTTTGCGGCTAAGCACGTGGCAATCCATGTATTGTGTTGTTCAAGGTTGAGGTTGCGTATAAGTAATTATGAATAGTGGCCTTTGTTCCTTTGCGTTCAGACGTTGACTTAATAACTAGTGAATAACTAACAACCACATAAAAAAAAAAAAAAGTTCGGGTTGTGGCTATTGATGCATATACAAATATTCCAATCATTATTATTGACACGACGAACTTATCAATATAACATTTGTAACGTTTTATTATTATGAGTATAAATAAAATCTACGCCATGTACTATAAATGGATAACATGATCCACTGAAATCAGAAGTATGGCTTTACTTTATTCCTCAAATCCCTTGAAATGTGGATGTAGGTTCATTCAAGAACAAGCAAAATTGTTAATACATCATTACTTGAAAGAACAAACAATCCCTTGTATGAGGCTAGACTTTTATCATTTAGATTTAGTGCAGACTAAAGTAGCATAAAAATGGTGATGAGTTACATATATGCATTTGAAAAAAAAAAATCTTTTTTTGCTTAATTTTTGGAGCAAAAGACATTTTAAAATCTTGAGATGTCGAGGGGTTTAGAATTTTTTGTGAAAGTTTATTAAAACAATCTAACATCATGTAGCTGAAAACCTGTACACACAAACATTTATAGCACACCATTGAGTTGCTGGATATTGTCAAACCTTTCCATGGTAAACTCGAGTTTTATAAATCGAATAAACAATAGTACATAAACTTCATTTATCCAATAAAAAAACGTAATTATAGGTTGTTTTCCATATATACGAAGTAAGGTTATTAGGGGATTGGCTAAAAAGAACAAGAAATTGCTCCCCCCTTTACCCACACTATGTTCAAAATTCAATGCATGGTAAAGTCTTCGTTTGACCATTATTACTATTGCAAAAGAAGCTATAGGAAGCACCAATAGCTTCCATTTTAATCTTCTCTAATTTTATATAATTATCCATACAAAATATTTTCGTTAGTGGCACGCTTAGTCATGATCAGGTTGCGTAGGACGAGTTGAATTTGATTTTGTTCATCCTATCCACTGATTAATCACCAACTCCTAAAGCCAAAAACCTGTCCCAAATCATGCCTCAACTTTTCATTTTTATAATCATGTACACTTTCTTTAATCTTAGGCCACAGGCAATGTGGAGTTACTTTCTAAGCAGGATAGAGATAACCCTTATTTTAGGTCAAAATGTATTCTACTATACTGACACTAATGGAGGCTTTTAAGCTTTTGATGCATAATATTGTGTAGTTTTTATAAATGCTACAGAAGTATTATAACTTACAAGTAGGTACAATTATGTACACTTACCAAATAACTAACTGAAGAAATAAAAAACTCATCAATGGTAGAAGCATAAATACAACTGGGATGGAACATCAAATAGAAAGTGTGTCATGGGAATTCAGCAACTTCACATCAGCATTTTGGGTAACAAAAATCAGACTAAATTTGTTTTTGGTTCCTTAAACTAACGAGGTTTTCTTTTTGGTCATCCACTGTTAAAAAGTTATTTAGCCCTATTTTTCCCCGTTCCAATGTGACCCCTCCATTTATTTTGTCCATTAAATACTTATGCAGCTCGAAAAATATGAAGTACCAAGTGACAAAGTTGTGCCATTTTTTGAGAGATCAAGAATATCAATGTTCATTTCAGCACCAAAATGCCATGAGTTAGAACTAAACTAATTATTTTTACTGAATGGATGAATAAATCAATGAACAATAGAATACAAGATACACAAAAAATGATTAGTGGTAAGTTACATACAACCTAAACATTAAAAAAACTCAATCCTGAGAATCAATCGATACAATTAAAAAACAAAGATATCTTACTCACAGCATACAGGCTGGTGTTCTTTCTGCAATTTCTCCCAAAGGCATAGCACCATCCTTGGGCTTTGATAATGGGCAAGTACATAATTTGATTCACACCCGGCATTGTAAAACCTCTCGTCGTTCATATAACGCATTTCTTTACCACCATTCGCAAACTGTTCAATCCATATGCCCATGGCAACATCTTCTAATTTAAAGAGCTAAGAAATTAAAAAAAAAAGCAGTCAAATGATAGAAGAGATTGAAAATAAATAATAAAATTTTTAGTAGTGGATAAAGAAATATTTAGCAGGAATGCAATGATAACAATTAAACATTTATACAAATACAATTGTGTATAGTTTAAGATAACACAGGTTTATTTTACTGGTTTTATATACAAAAGTAAATGAAACTTGATCTTCTCCTGACCGTCAGATTAAGCTTTGAAAGATTATCATAACTGTTGGATGCATGTAAAAAGATTTCAATATTTGGCAGTTTATGTAAAACATATTTGAATTTCTCCTAATCATCAGATTGAATTTTGAATATTTCCATAGCTGTCGGGATATCATACATGAAAGAAGACTTCAATATCAATATCTATCCATATAAATTTGTGTAAATGAGACTTAAACTTTTCTTAGCAGTTAGATTTGGAACGTTATCATACACATCAATCAAATTTATTTCCAACTATATAGAAATAAAAATCACAAATAAAATTTTAGTTCATAAAACTGTTACAATCTCTAACACCTGTATATGTACTAAATAGACATATATTCCTTTGTTCTATGTATTGGAATAAAGATATTTGATTAGCTAAATTATAGGTTTGTATAGAAGTACAAAATATTGTATAATCAGAACTTCCTTTATTTAGTCCTGATTTGTTGGAGTAAAATACTATAAGATTATAGTATTTGTACAAAAATAAAATGAATAAAATTATAAAATGAATTCTATGTTTTTCAATTTGGTACCAGAGCTTATAATTTTTTTCTTTTTCTTTCTAAATCCTTTGAAATCTTAAATGGAGAGATGACAGAAAAACTAATTCCGGTGGTTGCTCAATTTGAAGGTGTCTTCAACGGAGGTTTCATCATAAATGAATCCAATTATGACGCATGGTCACAACTAATGGAGATGCACATTGCAGAGAAGGAAAAATTATCCTACATCCGTGGAAAGGTGAAGCCTCCAAAGAGAAAGATGAGGGATATGAAAAATGGTATGCTGAAAACCAAAAAGTATTGATGTCCATGAAGCTAAAAATCTTGAAAAGGTATCTTCGCTTACCCACTGCCCTCGATATTTGGAATGTTTTGTCAAAGGCGTTTTATGATGGAAGTGATGAGCTACAGGTGTTTGCCCTGAATCAAAGGACATTCATTGCAAAACAAAATAATAGAACCTTAACTGAATATTATAGGGAATTGGTTGAGATTTTTAGGGAATTGGACCATCGTGGAGAAATCTTGTGCAAGAAAGTGACATCTGATTTAGAAGAATGCTATGCATTGATCCGGAGAGAGACAATCCGGCGAACAACGTTGAAAACAAAAGATATGATTTCTAATTCCACAGCTATGATGACAAAGAAGCAGTCATCAAATCGAAGTAATAAAAAGATTTTGAAAAAGGTAACTACAAGTGTACTCAATGTAATAAAGATGGACACACCAAAGAACAATGTTATGAAATCATAGGATACCTCGAATGGTAGGATCACAGTTGAGCATCGAAGAAGAATTAAAAAAGAAATCTCACTGCTGCTGCTGTAACTGCCATTGACAAAGAGGACGACAAAGGCATGATGTTTGCTACAATCGCAGGTAGTGATGATTCCAATGGTAAGGTTTTAATAAACACATCTACCATTCTGAATAATGCATGGATAATTGACTCTGCGTGTTCTGATCATGTGACTTTTGATGTTAGACAGATTAAAAATCTTAAACCTTCCTCACAAAAAAAATATTTCCACAGCCAATGGTAGTAAATCCACTATCATTGGAGAAAAAACTGTCTCTATTTCAAACAATTTGAACCTTGATACTGTCCTTGTTGTTCCTTCTCTTAAATATAACCTATTGTCAGTCTCACAAATAACTAAAGTTCTTTTATGTATTGTAATTTTTGGGCCTGACTCGTGTTTTTAAGGACATTCAAACGAGGAATACAATTGGTTGTGGTATTAGGCGAGGAAGGTTGCATTACCTGGACCTGACAAAAAAAGATTCAAAGAGACTTGGTCAAGTACTAGCAACAAAAAGGTCTCAAGAAGTAAGAAAAGACGAGGATATTTGGTTATGACATAAGCGTCTAGGACATGCATCTTTTGGTTACATAAAGAAATTATTTCCAAATGTATTTGACCAAGTAGACACTTCAACTTTTTATTGTGATGTTTGTGAGCTTGCAAAGAGTCACAGAACATATTTTCCTTTAATTTCAAATAAAAGTTCTCTTCCTTTTATAATCATTCACTCTGATGCATGGGGTACATCTAAGGTTACAACGTTGGGTGGCTCAACGTGATTTGTAACATTTATTGATGATTGTACTCGAATGACTTGGTTATGTTTGATGAAGTCTAAAAGTGAAGTTGGAGGACTATTTCAGAAATTCTGCAAAATGATTGAGATCCAGTACAAAGCACAAATTCAGGTATTGCGCAGTGACAACGGAAGAGAATATATGCAATCAGAACTTTAACATTTTTTAGTAGTCAAAGGAATTGTTCATCAAAGATCTTGTCCAAATACTCCACAACAGAATGGGGTGGCAGAACGAAAGAACCGTCATCTATTGGAGGTGGTCCGAGCTGCACTGATATGAGCTCACATGCCATCAATATATTTGGGAGAAGCTCTCACATATGTAGTATACACTATCAACCGAATACCGTCCAGGTCTCTTGAGTATAAAACACATCTTCAATCATTTACAGATACAGTAGTAAGTTCTAAAATTGCTGAACTAACACATAGAGTTTTTGGTTGTGTTGCTTATGTTCACTTACACAAGCATCAGTAAGTTGTCTCCTAGAGTTGAAAGGTGTGTGTTCCTTGACTATGCGGACCAGAAAGGATATCGGTGCTACAATCCACAAACCAAACAAATGTTTACTACTATAGATGTAGTTTTTCATGAAACCTTGAGATAATTTTCCCCCGAGTCTGAAATTTAAAGGGAAAATTATGATGAAGTTCAGACTTTTGTTCCTCAAGAAATTGATATTGAGGTCAGATTGGAGAAAGAAAGTTACAAAGTTGTATCAGGAGATGATGAAAGTGTGCAACAATGTGATGATCAACAACCACATAATAAGGAAGATTTTAAGCACGTCGAGATCGAAAATTTGTCTGTTGATGTTGATGATATACCACACCAATCGTCCCTTCAAGAACCTAATACAGAAAAAGAATTCTATCAGATCGTGTCACTAGAGGTATCCCTAAGCCTACTTATGATCCTGACCCCACCAGTAAGACAAGATACCCTATGAGTAATTATATTTATAACCAGAATTTGTCTAACTCAAATATCGCATTTATAAGTCAATTATCTATTATATCTATTCCTAACAGTGTGCAAGATGCTTTAGCTGACTCCAGGTGGAAGGATGCTATTGAATGAGGAGATGAGATCCTTGCAAAGAAATAAAACATGGGAATTGGTAGATTGTCCAGTTGGAAAGAAGCCAGGAAGATGCCGATGGGTGTATACTGTGAAATTTAATGCAGATGGCACAATTGAGAGATTCAAAGCTAGATTAGTGGCAAAGGGGTACACACAAGCATATGGAATAGATTACACTGAAACGTTTGCTCCCGTAGCCAAAATTAGTACAGTTCAAGTATTGTTATCTCTAGCTGTAAACATTGATTAGTCCTTACAACAATTTGACGTAAAAAATACCTTCTTACACGGGGAATTGTCTGAAGAAGTTTATATAGAGCTACCAGAAGGATGTGGGATCCCGAATACACGTATGCAAGTTGAAGAAGTCATTGTATGACCACGAGCATGATTTGGTAGATTCACCAAGACAATGCTTGCTTTTGGATATCAACATAGCAATCAAGATCATACCTTGTTTCTAAAGAAAAAGGAAAGAAATATTACAATTCTTATTGTTTATGTTGATGACATGATAGTTACGGGAAATGATCTAGAGGAACGCAAGGCATTGAAAGAGTACTTAACAAAGGAATTCGAGATGAAGGATCTTGGTCCTTTGAAGTATTTTCTTGGAATTGAGGTTTCAAGATCAAAGTCAGGTATTTTTCTCTCACAAAGAAAATATGCATTGGATTTACTGAAAGAAACTGGAATGACAGCATGCAAACCAACAAATTCTCCAATTGAAGGGGGATTGAAGTTGTGCATTGAAGAAGATCAAACTCTAACTAACAAGGGAAGATATCAGAGACTTGTAGGGAGATTGATGTATCTCTCACACACCAGGCCAAGTTTAACTTATGCTCTTAGTGTGGTTAGCCAGTTCATGCACAATCCAGGTGAAAAACACATGGATGCTGTTATACGAATTTTAAGGTACATAAAAGCTGCTCCTGGAAAAGGAGTTATGTTCAAGAAGAACTTCAACTACAAGGATGTGATGGTTTACACTGATGTAGATTGGGCAGGTGCTCTTGATGATAGAAGATCAACCTCTGGATACTTTACATTTGTAGGAGGTAATCTTGTCATATGGAAAAGTAAGAAGCAGAAAGTTGTAGCTAGATCCAGTGCAGAAGATGAACTTAGAGGAATGGTTCTTGGATTTTGTGAAGGTTTGTGGCTCAGACTACTTCTCCAGGATTTAGGGTATGCTCCTATTCAGTTGTATTGTGATAATAAAGTTGCGCGCGACATTGCTCACAACCTTGTCCAACATGATCGGATGAAGCATGTGGAGGTTGATAGATTTTTCATTAAGGAAAAACTTGATAAAAATATTTTGGAATTGCCAAATATTCGATCTGAAGATCAACTGGTAGACATTCTTACCAAAACTGTGACAAGTCAGATTTTTAGGAGATTATTGGACAAGTTGGGAATATATAACATTCATTTACTAACTTGAGGGGGAGTGTTAGGATAAAGATATTTGATTAACTAAATTATAGGTTTGTATAGCGGTATAAAATATTGTATAATCAGAACTTCCTTTATTTAGTACTGATTTGTTGGAGTAAAATACTATAAGACTATAGTATATGTACAAAAATAATATGAATAAAATTATAAAATAAATTCTATGTTTTTCAATTATTTCCAACTATAAAGAAATAAAAATCACAAATAAAATTTTAGTTGATAATACTAAATATACATGACTCAAACTGTTACAATCTATAACACCTGTATATGTACTAAATAGACGTATATTCCTTTGTTCTATGTGTACTCTCCGTGAACATGTAGAAGAAACTTCCAATCCTCTGTTCTTTACTTGTCCTATGGCTCATAAGCTTTGGAGTTGGGCAACGGAAGCGACTGGTTTACATCTAACCATTACTTTGGTTGAGGATTCTTTACCGTTGATTTATCAGTCTCATAATCAACAAGCTAGAGATACTGTTACAGCTTTTGTCATTCATATTTATTGGATTATTTGGAAATTGAGAAATAATGCTCAGTTTCAGGAACCAATCAGTTATAATATGGCTACGTCAATGGTCACTTCTGGTGTTAATCTTGATGGCCGACTTACTAAAGGGGTTATGAGGAATAACATTCAAGACTTCCAAGTGCTCAAGTATTTTAATATTGATATACATACTCCTTAACAGGTTAGTTGCATACCTGAGAATTGGAAACCGCCTAATATAGGTGTGATTAAATGTAATATTGATGGTGCTGCTAGGGGGAAACCGGGATTGGCTGCTAGTGCTGGTATCTTTCGTGGTTCTAATGGAGAATATATAGGTGGGTTTTCTAAGTTTCTTGATAATAAGTATGGATTATTTGCAGAACTTGATGCTGCTATGACCTTTATTGAGGTTGCTTATAATAGAGGTTGGAATAGATTAAAAGGATTTAAGGTTTAGAGTTTAATATAAAAACAAAGTGCTATTAAGGTTAAAATATTATATATTATAAACTATAAAATAAAAGAAATTATTACAATTTTAAAACTCAGCTATATATATGTTTAAAGATGTTAGAATATAAAGTTTTTAACACCTACACTAGACTGACATCGATATTGTGTTTTATTTGGTACTAAGAGAATATATTATTATTTATTCAAACAAAATATTTAAAGAATATAGTAGAGAATATGTAAATAATTTTTTGAACTATTAATTATGTTTTACTGTTTTAAGTCTAATAAATTCTCTAATTTAATTTTGTAAAATTAAAAAATGTTTGAATTATTACATTCCTTTATTTTTCTCTTATGTATTCTGCTCCTGACATTTTCGGTTTCTCAATGTTTCTTTTATCTTGACTAAATATTTTGTTTTACTCATTCTATTATATCATAGGTTGAGAGAAGAAGACCTCGCCCAATATGTCTCAGCCACTTAGAACTAGCAAGAACAAAGTTCTCAACATAATACATCATCCAATGAATCTGACATGGGATGGAATTGAAGATTAATAGTCAATGCAACTTATCATGTGTATCATTACATTTCTTTCTTCAAATATTTTGAAGTACTATTATACACACACACTAGTAATGACATTGAATATTAATTAATATTTGTTCTCAATATTATTTTTTACAATCAACTTTATTTATTTTTAAAATTAACTACTTTGAAATATATTTGATAAAAAATAAAAATTTAAAAAAACTTTAAGAAGCATATCCTTGAAATATCCAAAAGGTTCTAAAATAAACACATCTGTAATCCCCCATCCTGTAAAGGGAACGAAGAAATTCTCACCTTGAGTTTTCTTTCTTGGTGGCCATTGACAATGAATTTTGCTATGTCTCGAGAGATAACATAGCCAGGACCATGAGCCCATGGTGGGTATGTATCATGTGGCCATTCCTAAAAGATAAAATAATTAATAATATAAATAAATTTGGGTGGGGTGGGCGTGGGAGAGAATGCTAATGCAATTCATTAATACAAGCATGAATACCTCCTCACTGATGTACCACTTGCTTCCCTCATCCCTCTGAGGAGATGATTTAGAAGAAATGAGACCGTATAAGAGGCCTTTTGATGGCTTTTCTTTAAGGCTGGAAAGCACTTCATCTATCCTAACAAATGCATCATCGTCTGTTTTCATTATGTACTTAGAAGGGATGATTTTTGTCTGCAATTTCAATAAATAAGAGCATATTAAATACCATGAATAAAGTAAAGGCCAAAAATAAGAGAACCCAATACCTACACAAATTTTAAATGATATATTGTTGTAATCATTTTTATGGTCTTGAAACTAGTTACAAGCTACTTCGTGATTTGATCAACAGATAAAGCTATAGATATCATTGCTTAGATAAAAAAAAAAGGCCTTACCACAGAAAAAAAAAAAAAAAGGTTGTTAGAAAGAATAACCCAGACTATAAATATTGGATCTTTATAATACTAAGTGTCTTACATGATCTCTTAGGAGTAGTATTAATATTAACAGAAATTTGTGTTATCAGATCAGGCATCACCACATCTTGCTAATCAGTAGAATCAAGACAACCTTTCTCATGGTATTCTACCAGTATTTCTTCCACCTTTGGTGTGCCTCCATTACCTCTATTTCCCATCATTAATCCCAGACAGTTTGGCCCCGAGGCTGGAATTTCCCTTCTGTGCTTGGGTTGTTTCTTGGCATTCTTGGTAGTTATCATACCTCTAGTTTGCCATTGTTACTATATATGCCTTTTTTCCAATGTTAGCATAGCATTGATGGGGAGAAAGTTGGAAGGTGAATGTCACGTCTTCCTAAAGCCCTAATAAATCACACTAGTGGTAATTTCTTTTCCACACTTATGTTGGCTGACTTGCACAGTCCATCTCCAGTCCCAGAAGCAACCTGCCTGTCTCAACAGTTAAATACATTGGCCTAGTCTGTCTCTAGTTTTCAGTCCCAAAGACACTAGCACATCTCTGTTTCCAGTCAAAGATGCTGTCATTTGCTACTATATTATAATCTATATTTTTCTGTATTTTGTAACAAGTTTAAAAGCATAGTATGCTTTAGCATAAGGGGCAGTGTTAGAATATCCAGAAAATATCTCATAAGATCATATGGTTATATTATAATAAATATAGTATAATAGATTATCTCTTAAGAGTGGTTTCCATGTTTCATAATAGTTTTGTGATTATTTTCTTAATTGAAATAGGAATAAGAGTCTGTCTATATTGGGTTCTGTTTGCTTGTGCTTAAGAAAAAGATGGCTGGCAAAAAGTATAATCAGGAACTCATGTGTTTGTTTACAATTATAAACAGCACTTTTTTAACTACGAGATTTTTTAGGACAATTTTGGCTTCCCAAGTTCAATTGCATAAATTGGATTCCTCATTTATCACATTTGAGCAATTTTGGTCCCTCCCTCAATCTTTAGTTATGTTTTTAACAAATTTAGTTGATGTGATAATAAATGATTATATGACAACTAAACATATATTGGTGTGTCTTAAACTTTTGCTCCCTCACAATTGCCATACCTTATAGACCAAAAGTGTGATTTAAACCATAAGGTAACATGTTAGCCCTATGTCATCATCCAATTCTACATCAGGAAAATTTGTTAATATATTTTTACAGAAAATTGAAAGAGCGACCAAATTAGCATAATTACAATATTTGAAGAATCAAAAGTGCAATTAAGTGTATAACTTTATACCTCACCAAAAAGTATATAACTTCATAGCATTCTATCTTAGGATGTAAGCAGTTGACTCAATAATTTGAATTGAAATAAACAATAGCAATCCCAATATATTTTTTGCATAATATCTTAATCAACTTACCCCCATAATGCAAATTGCAATTGTCTTCAACGAAATCAAACTATAATAATCTACAAAAGGCATTAATTGAATATCTCCATATGCTTGAGCTTCAGTCCATAACTCAAAATTAACCCTATTGTTCTTGTGCTGCAATCAAATCAAATCAAATGTCACAACTATATTTTGAACAGAGGAAATTTTTTTTTTTAAATTGCTTTAATTTAAAATGCTTGGTGGAGTCCACGATACAGAATTTGGAGGTCAAAGTGCTAGAGATTCGCAGCTTTGGTTTCAGTTTTCAATCACCATTTTCTTGAGCTAAACACTAAAAATAAATTAAATGATTCATTTTAATAATGAATCCAACTTCAGGTAATATCCCAATCACTTCATAGTCATTCTACATAATGTAACGTCTTGAGTAAATTTCTTAATTAATATGGCACCCGCACTACAGTCCTCAGTTGTACTAAACTGTTTTACAAATCGATTTAAGGACTCATGAAACAAATCCAAGAGCTTGACTAAAGGAACCATTGACTGATTATACATAAAACAATGATGGTCAGTAAATTCAGAAATTACAAGTCATCAATTTCTTTATAAACCAGCCAACTTCATCCATATTTCTTTCAAACAGAGAGAAGTGCATTAATAACCAGGAAAGCAGAGCTTGAACAAAATTCTTCAAGGCAAAACTGGTGCTTAAACTAGAACAAGAATTACACTAATTTATGGTTTCACTTGAACAAGTTTAAAATGGATTGCTTACAAGCCCAATGAAAAATCGGACAGCAACTTCTCCCGAACGTACAGCCTCATATTGCATCCAAGACCTCCTCAGGGCCATGCGACGCTCAAAGTTGTTTCCGGTAGAGAACACTCCAATCAACAAAATAAGCCTTTTTTGGGGGATAGAAGGAGCCTTCAGATTGTCAACATCAACAACTATATCATTATCTTCAGTAACAGGTAAACCTTTAGCCAGGATTGATAAGAGATTTAAACTGCCTGCTACTTTAATACTGCTAACTAACCACGGTTCAAGCTTCTGCATCCATAAAACCTGTACAAGGTTAAATGACTAGTCTATTAAAAGATTTGTTTTTAGCAGTGTTTCTCTTCCCATACCATACCTCCCTATATGCAAAAGATGTTTCATGCCTTCCATTCACAGTCATATGAAATCCCTCTGAACCTACCCACAATGTCGAAGTGAAAGGATTACCCTCAGCAAAGGGGAAAATAGCATTTCTATGTGCACTTTCTGAGGAAATATTAGAAGGAATATCTCTAGCAGCTTGACCAAAATTTACATTCCCTTTGGTGTTACTTCTGATTGCTTGTACATTGCAGAGAACAAGTCCATCAACTACAACATACAGTTAGATAATTTAGAAGTTACAGCAAGCCTCCCTCTTTTACAGCTGCACTCAAGAATAATAAGGGTGCATAATAACACAAAATAAAAGAGCTTTTTGTTATGAAGTATTATATGATTACAGTCTTGCAACCTTCAAGCATGAGATGAGGTGTTGCACTGCAGCCATAGCCTATCTTCAGAGGGAAAACGATATTTAAACAAGACATTATCCTAGTTACAATTTAAATTTACAATTATGCATTCTCTACAAGAAAAGGAAAATATTTCTTGTTAAAGAATGTACTTTATCCATTATAGCGTGCAGAATAGACTAATTTAACAATTAAAGATCTATAACTGATCACCACTTTTAACAAAAAAAAAAATTCATGACTATAAATTAAAAATTGCTAAATATACCTTCTTGGATGTTGGCAGAACCATGTGCAGGACACCTTTCCTCTTTTCCCCACCCTAAATCACTAGTCCATGTATTTTGAACAATATATGGTCGCTCCGTCATGTTTTCTCCAGGAAGACTCACATTATAATGCAAGATAATTGGAGGATTTGGCTCCCCTTCTAGCTCTTGCCCAGCAAGGTCAATCTGGAAGCTTCTGTTTTGTGCATTGGGGATTCCAATCAGTGTAATAGAAGAATCTACAACAAGACCACAAGGGAGATCAAGAGTGATTCCATTATCTGGTTCGGCCTTACCAGCTGAGGTCACAGAGAATGGGCAGTTTTGATTTTCTGGGCCATCCATCTTATTAATCTTGGAAGCTTTGTACTTTTCAACAGTGGACAGCAACTCTTTCCATGCTACTGAAGCCTCTTTAATTCCTTGAGCTGTCTCAGCCAAAGCATCTGACCTTGACAGCAAGGTACGTAAGGAATCCCATATTAGCACAGAATCCATCCCTTCTTTGGATAAATTTTTCATGTCATACAGAACATCAAGCCCTACAACATGTACCAAATATGGCCTTTTTGTTGGTGTTGGTACCCTTTTTAGTTCCAACTCAGAAGAGTTTACTGGAAGATTGAAATCATCTGGTGTATGGCTATTAAAGAAATTGTATGCTGATTGTTTTGCTAACTGCTGCCGTGGCTGAATTCCTTTGAGGTTGTAGAGGAAAAATAACGTCATACCCAGAGCTATTATCAACATGCCTCCATACCACTTCCTCATTTTCAGTAAACCTTAAACTAAATGTAATTGTTTCTGCATACAGATATATCACACAACTTTCACTACAAAATGAATGACTATCGTCACACCACCTAATCGATAAACAAAAAATGAAAATTAGTTGCCAGAATATAATTGACGTGATTTAATACATGGAGAAGTTATAGGGATGAACTATTATTAGCCCTTATTTTATGCCTTTAGCAACTGATGATGGGGAAAGGAGCATATCTAGGTTCTTCACACCACACATAGGGGAATCCCATACCATAATAAGGCATGGTATATGAGCTGATGGGAATTAGAGTAACCTATTGAAATACTGAAAATGAATTACGATTACGAGAACTTGATTTGTAATGTACTGATCACTTCACATAATAGAGAGGAAAAGCAAGGAAGTGAATAACGTTCAGATTATTGAATCTTAACTGAAATGGTTTGACAATCAAATTTCATGTTTTTTTTAAAATCAAAATCTTGAATAGAGTTAATCCATGAAATCACAAGCTCTGTTAAATTGATTTTATAATAAGAAAACCAAGTCTCTGACAATTTAGCCCTATAATTGGTTTGACCAGTCGGTCACTAGTCCCTAACATTACTTAATCAATTAATTTAGTTCCTGAATGTGTCAACATTGTCAAACTGATCGTAAATTTTACACTCATCAATCGACTTGGTTCCTTCATTAGTAATAAATGAATGTTGCACAACAAAGATAATGGTTAAATTGATCAATGTATACCAAAGTCAACGTTCAAAATGACTATTGTAGTCAAACATAGAGATCAAACATGACTGAGAGTTGCTAACTTAAAAGGACAAAAATTTATTTTCGGTAATAATATCAAAAAGTAATTGGATCGGTTTTCTGAATCTTAAACTGTAGGGCTACTTAGTTGACTAGCAAAAAAAGGTTTGATGCGGAATGTCTACTGCGACTGGTATTCAATTTCTGTGTAGTAGAACTGAAACAAAAGTCCAGAATGGCATGATTTTCTGGTAAGCATTTTATGCGAATCTTATGGGGCATAAGTAATTTTGTTGTAAAGATCCCACCTTTATATTGTTTTTTCCTCCACAAAATAGTTGAAAAGCACAAGATCCGGAGAATGAATGAGAGAGGAAAAGAAAGAAAAGAGGGACTGACCATTGAAATGGTGCTTTGAAGTTAGAGGGAGAATGTGGGAAGATGAGTGACACTCAGATTCCTCCATAGTTGCACCACCATTTCTATCTCCTCACTGCTACTGTACACTCACTACACGACGTCGTGTGGCGTTTGGGAACGAGAAAACTTGCGTGGACAGTCGCTTCCTCTACCTCAAAACTTTCTTCCAACGTCTCCATATCTCAAATAAAATAACTAAAACATCTTTTGAATAATTTTTATTTTAAATTCTAATCCCTACTTTTGTTTTCTTACTAAAGTTCTACACTTTATATATATAGAGAGAGAGAGAGAGATGGAGTTTCTTGTCTTATCATTTTCCTTCAAAAATTTTCCAACATTAAACTAACTAATAGTTAATATTACATATTTATTAGATATTTTTACACTAAAATTATATATTAAGACATTATTTAATCCAAAATTATTTTACAAAAATTAGATTGAGTCTTGAAATATCCAATTTGAAATTGATTTTCGAATTGATTTTTTAAAACTCATTCTAAAACAAATATATCTTCAAAGAAGTCAATCTAAAAATATTTGGTATTTCACCATGAATTTTTAAAAAAATCAATCCAAAAATATATTTCAGAAAAAAATTCTAGAAACATGTGTTGAAAATAGGTTCTAGAATATATATTTAGAATTAAATTTTCAAAAATATAATCTGGATTGGTAGGTTCAGAATACACTTTAAAATTGGTAGAGTTCAGAATACACTTGAAAATTGGTGGGTTCAGAATACACTTCTATAATGTGTAATCCGGAAGTGTATTTTATATCCACCAATCTAGAATGCATTTTTAGAAATTTAATCTTAAAAATATATTTCAAAACCCACTAAAATATGATTTTGGAAAAAAATTTCTAGAATATGTTTTTGAAACTTTTTTTTGGAATGTATTTTCAATCTCCATAACTATATTCCAAAATTTCGAACGTGTTTTCAGTCAAAAATCTTATTGTGCGAATATTGTATATGGTAAAAAAATTAATACAAATTAAAAGCAGATAGAGATTATTATTTATTTCTTACCATTCTTGGAATAATAAGATAAGAAAGAATGAAAATGTTTTAGTAAAATTTATAAATCAGATATTCAAAGATTTAAAACCATAAATAAACTCTAAAGAGATGAAGATTAGTATAAAGATAAAATAAAAATTTAATTTAATTACAAGAATACAGGAAGAAATTATGAAACATTAATATTTCAATAAATAAATAAAGATTAAATTAGAAAGAAAAAAATATTTGTTCCATTTCATCTTTCACACTATAAAAATTATTGTAATAATTATTTTAACTTTTATATATATATATATATATATATATATATATATAAAATTAAAATATAATTTGATCTAGTAAATTACATTTTAATGATCTATTAAAGACTCAAAATATCACTTAACCAAAACTTGTTTGTTTTAGTTATAAATATATCTTATTCATTCAATTACCTATATATTTTAACATGAGTTATGTTTATTAACATTTAGGATTTTTTAAAATTATTGTAATTTTAATATCTCATTCAATTTACACGTAGTAAAACAATATGAATGTATCTTATTTATTTCAATAATCTTTCCTTCTATATTTAGTGCAACGAGAAGTTAGAATCATGATTTTTAAATTCTCAACAAAAAAACAAGGTTTTCTTGAGTAATATTTTAGCAAAAATAATAACTCATCTGATTTCAATAAAAACTAATGAAGGAATTCTATAAGAAAAAAATAATATAAGTTATTATTATTTTTAATATTTGTCATTTAAGATTTGATTACGTAAATAAAAAAATTTAATTTTTAGGATTTATAATAAATTTGATAATTTTTTACAAAAATATATTTTTTCATTTTAATATATTTTTCTCTATTAAAAATTACTCATAATTTATTTTATTATAAATGTAATTAAAAGATATAATTAATATAACATTGAAGTTTGGACATGATAGATAAATATATTTTTTAAAGAAACTTACAATTAGGAAAACAACCATAATAAAGACAGAAGACTAGCAGTTTATACATGTTAAACACACAAGGTAGTTATCAGTATTGTTAACTTCATTTTAAAAAAATGAAAACGAAATAAATATAGTCTATGACTAGTTATATTTGTTAAATAAAAATTCAAAAAATTACATTTAATAATATTTTATATTAGGATGATTAATCTAATTACATTTCAGTTTTCAGTTATAAATATTGTATAATATGTGTGTCGAGTGAAAACGTGTTTATGTAAAATAACGTATATAGATTATTTTCCCAGTCGACAACCTCTCTCGATTCAATTCTTTTTTTTCTTTTGATACTCTGTCTAGACCTTGGTTGTTAACAGTGATATCTAGAACTTCAAAATCCGATAACAAGAAAAGAAGAAGATCAATGACAATGATAAGAACTGGGTTGCATGACAACATGTCAATGCTCGATAGAAAAAATTAGAATAATTATAATAGTTAGTGTGTGAAGATGAAGACTATCTTTGGATTCCAAGAAGTCTTAGATATTGTTTTAAATGGATATGATAGACTACTGAATAATTCCACCAAGGCACAACATGCTATATTTCAATATGCGAAGAGACGCGATTGTAAAGTTTTGTTTTACATTCAATAGTGTGTCGATGAAAACAATTTCTAGAAGATTTCATTGACAAACACAACAAAAAAGTCTGAGATTTATTGGCACAAAGCTATGCAAGAATAGAAAGGTTGAAGATGGTGCGAGTTCAAACCTTGCAGTATCAGTTTGAGTTGCTGCACATGGGGACGTAAGAAACTATTCAAAAATGTTTTACAAGATTGTTGTTTATCACAAATTTGATGAAATGTTATGGTAAAGGCTTGAAAGAACAAGTGATGGTGGAGAAGGTATTAAAGACTCTCGATGCAAGATTCGATATGATTTATGTTTTATCGAAGAACAAAAAATTTGGATGAATTACAGAGATCATTGGAGGCTCATAAATAACGTTTACGTGAGAGGGCAGAAGATAAGTCTAATTTAAACCAAGCTTTGTTGGCAAAACAAAATCAAAAGAATGAGAGTAATCAAGGAAAGTCTATTAAGAGAGATCATGTAAGAGGTTTCAGAGACAAAAACAATGAAGGTTGAGGTTCAGAAGGACAACAAAAGATTTTTCCACAATTGAGAGGTGACAGATAAAAATTTATACTAGAGAGATGATCGATCTGGTTTTGGTTCTGGTTCTAGTAAAAATAATGTATACTGTTATAACTATTACAAATATGACCATTATGTAGCTGATTGTTAGAGTATTATTCATGCAACAATGAAAATGAAGCAAATGTGACGCAGAAAGAAGAATTGAAGGATAAAATGTTGTTGATGATGATGACCATAACAAAATCAGAGAAAACACATGGCAAATCTTGGTACTTGGATATAAGTTGTTCAGTACAACAAAAACATCAAATAGTGACCGAAATAGTAACCAACCCAAATCGGTCACTATTTCGGTCACTAACAAAAACATTAAAAAATTAAAAATATTTTTTATAAGTCTCTAATCTCCCTTTTATATTCTTCTATAATATATTTTTATTATTTATTATATTTTTAGAAATTTGAATTACTAAAAGATTGAAATAATTGTGAAAACTGACAAGATTTGAACCCAAGTACCTTAGAGTTAGAGACTAATACTCCAACCACTTAGCTACTAGAAATTTTTTATAATAGTTTATAAATAAATTATATTTATATACAAATAAAAATATATATCCGTGTAAATATGTAAATATAAAATATAAATATATATATATATATATATATATATATATA